CAGATATGCAAGAAACAGTTACTCACAACTTAATAGGGTGGAGAAAGTAGAAGATAGGCTACAAATAGACTATCAAAGAAACAAAACTATGAAGTGAAAGAAACAAACCTTGGGATCTTTTGAAATTACAGAAAAAGAGGAAAGAAGAGTATATAACAGATAAAACTAAAGAATGCATCATTATTGTACAAAAAGTGATTCACTGTCATGCAATTAAGAAAGAAGGTGAAAAGCAACCAACATGTGATATGTGTAATTTTGCAGGGTGTGGAATCTGGACAATTAGAGCAGCATTTACTTGGTTGCCATTGCTGATTCCAGTGTGAGAAAATGCTCCATTGCAGTACAAATAAAATCAACTACATTTAAATCAAATCACCTGTTAACGGAGAAACAGGAGAACATCTRCAGGAGACAAATGGCAGTCTTTCTTTCATTTAGGATAGTGCCACTATAAAAAACTTTCAGACAAACTGGGAAAACTTTGTATTGCATACTGTATTTGAAATGTTTTCTTCTTTAATGATGAAGGCAAAATGCTACTGTATTTTTTGCTTGACACTGTAAGTGCATTTTTAGCAAGAGCAGACTGAGGAATGTTGACAATCTATCCAAATATCAACGATTTCCAATTTTTTTTTATTTTCAGTCTTCTGTTTCTTCTCAGTATTATTCAGAGTTTATAGAGTGACATTATCAACATTTTCTGTTTCAGGTACAGATGAGTCTTTCTCCTGTTCTTTCTTCTGTAACTCTTTCTTCCCTGTGGGTATTCCCAAAACTGCTGCTGACCAACTTATCTCCAGTCTGGAGAGTTCATATACAATGTACATCAGAAGCATCTTAGACTTTGAGACATGGGTGTTGAGCAGCTGCCTTGYTAGCATTGTAAAATACAATGTGGAAGCACAAATGGCACCACTAAATCCTAATCAAGTTTGTGAAACCACCCAAATGTCACTTAAATGGTTTAAATAGCCTAACACCTGCAATTGCAAAGAATTAATTTTTTTTGCAACATGTTCTGTGCACAGTGTTATTGACCTCCCTCAGAAACTTAAACATTGAAACCATAATGGCATATTTTTGCCATTTAGTTGAAAACTTGTGTCTTTATATATACATATATATAGAACTATCAAGCAAGCTAATTAAAAAGTATTAAGAACTGCTCAAGCAGTGTATCTTAGACTCACAGCTTGCCTATCATAGGCGCTTTTTAAATCCTGCCTATCTTAGACACCCATTTCAGGATGGGAAGAATGAGTTTCTGCAGGTTTGTCCCAGGTGACAGACTGTAGAATTACCTTAGTGACACAGTCAGACTGGACACCAAACTTGTTCAAAGTTCCACTGAAAAGCAAATTGATCCAACAATGTTTTGCTACTTATGAAGGCATCTGTTTGAGGTATTATTTGAGCAGGGAGAAGCATTATCCTTTACCATGTTACTATGTTTTTATGCAGATAAAAGAGACATTTGTACTCTGATATTTCATTTTCCATATTGCTGCTGCTAGATTGTAAGGATTAAGGAGAACAGTAAAAGTACTTAAGTCTCCAGCTTGGCCCACATTCCAGGAATATGAATTTTGGCTATGCAGAAAGTAACAATAACCTGCTGGGTGGTTTCCACCAAGCAATGGATTTCTTCAAGTTCTTCTACCTCAGAGATAGCACAGGGGAAGTCTGATGTATAAATATCTTACAAGGCACTCAGAAAAAACATCACAGAAAACAGCTTGGCATGTGATAACTTTCTTTAATGTATATATATAATCTCATTTTACATTATAATATTATAAACAAATTTTCATTGAWACAAGCTACAAAAGTCTTCATTAATGGATTCTGAAAATATTTAAGTGAGATACTTAAATGCTAAAGGTATATCTGACACAAGATTTACCTAATGCTGTCTCTGACAGAGGGTCTATTGAACATCTTTAAAAATKATATCAAAAACTGACCAATCATTCAGGTGAAGGAATATATATTGAAAAGCTCAATTCATTCCAGCATTCACTTGTCTTCTTTGGGATTTGAGGTAACATACAACAGCTGCCATGAGGGAGGTAGTCCAAAGGACACTTTGTTGGCTTGCTGCTTGGCATACTTTAAACAGCAAACTGAACTCTACTTTGAAGATGAAGCTTCAACATTACCTTCACTGTCACATCAATTGTTAACTCCTGAATATATGCCCTGTGGGGCTSGCACACAGATGTAGAGAAAATTTCTGGTGCAGATGGAGACTCTGCTAAAGTTAGCGGATGTTGCTCTGTAACATCCTGTCAAAGCCTGATTACCTGCTGTGCATRTTGATGCAGTTCAGCAGGTGTTTTACTTCTTCCTTTTACTCATATCAATCTCTTCTGGTTCCCRTATTTTTAAATAAATCTGCAGCTGGTATRTGTTGTGGCATTTATTAAACWYAGAATCATAGAACATGCTGAGTTGGAAKGGACCCATCAGGATCATYGAGTYCAACTCCTGGCCCTGCACACAGCAGCCCAAGAGTCACACCCTGTGCCTGAGAGTTTTGTCCAAATGCCTCTTGAATTCTGTCAGGCTTGGTGCTGTGACTACTTCCCTGGGCAGCCTGTTCCAGTGCCCAGCCACACTCTGGGTGARGAACCTCTTCCTCATGTGCAGCCTAAACTTCCCCTGACTCAGCTTCATTGCCATTTCCTCAGGTCCTGTCACTCGTCATCAGAGTGAAGAGATTGGTACCCACTCCTCAGCTGCCCCCARCAYTCGAAGTGAGGCTGYCCCRGCCCAGAGCAGAGCRGGACAATCCCCTCCCTTGCCCGGTTGCTGATGCTGTGCCTGATGCACCCCAGGACATGGCTGGCCCTCCTGGCTGACAGGGCATGCTACTAATCAAGTCTTTCTTGTGTATAGATTTCTAACATTAATTCTGATCCCTTTTTAGATCTTTTCATCCTATTAAATGCAAAACACTCAAGGCTGACCAAACTCRAGGTAACAAGTAAATTCTGTTTCTGTATTTTCTGTGCACTTCRAGGAAAGAAGATAACTGCTTGTTTACATGTACATGTAGGAAGAACTAGACCTGGATAAAGTGTTTTGTCTGTATTAAGTAATTTTCAAATTTCACTGGTTTTGATGTATTTAGAACTATATTAATTTTCTTATTTTAATGTCCTAGCTACTTACAGTTACTAAAACCCCTAACCAAATCACATTTTAAAACATATTCAAAGGAACTTCTCAAAATTCATGAAAATAAAATTTCTTCTTCTTTTAAATGAAAAATTAAATAGTTTAAACTCTATTCCAATACAGCTGTTTTCYTTCACCTGCTGGCTTTAAAGAAATATATATTAACATATATAAAACCAAGAAATTAAATGCATGTATTTCACAGAGATGCATCTAAATCCATATATAACTGAGAAAAGTGGGGAAAATAACAGTGCATTTTCTTAGTCTAATATCAATGAAGAGCATCCATTCAAGCACTATGGCTAGAGAAAGTCAGATGCAGTGCTCACGTAAAAATAATTCAAAGCAGAGTTCTATTTGGATTGGGAAAATGACACATAAATYCTTTATGCGTTGTCATACTGGGATTGAGTTAAAGCCAACCAAGCATCTGATTCTTGCTTTGAATACTCATTGATTCATTGCTATTGTAAACCATTTAATGGGAATCACATTCAAAAGATTGGTGAAAGACTCTCATTTTAAAAATCAGAGATATCTGTAAGAAGACAAGTTCAAGAAGAAAAGATTTAAACAAATATTTGGGAAAACCATTGCCCATATCTACCACATATACTACTGAACAGATTTTTTTAATAATGAGTTATATACCAAATTCCTTAATCAGATACATATTCCTAAATATTCTGAAGCATATTTGTGAATAGTGGAGCCTCAATTTTACCCAAATCAAAAATTTTATGCCATGWTAAATGATCTTGTAATTTCTCTTTCTTTTAAGCATTTGGATGCATATAAATAGTATTTAAAAGTACAAACATGTCCAGAAGACATTATATGTGGAGTTATACACACAAAGATAAACATAACCATGAGACACGCATGAAACAAGGTAATAAATATGATATGACAGATATATAGATAAATAAATATGTATAAATATATCTCATTTTGATTTTGACTGATCTGTTTTTGCAATAGTTTTGTCGCATCCCACACTTTGCTCCTCTGTACTGTTTTTGATTTTTTTTGTAACAATTTACTTAAGCTAAATAAAGATGACCCTAAGCACAAACAAAACACTAATAGCAGCTAGAATCCGTTAAGTGCCTGACATGTTTAAGGTATTGTGYAAGTATTTAATTAAAAGTCCTCAAGACAATCCTCAAGACCAGTAAATACTTCCAGCAGCAATGCTGCAGCACAGAGAAAGAAGTTACCACAAGGGAGAAACCAAATCCCAGCACTAAATTGTAGCAGTGGCTTTTCTGTTCAGACAAAGCAGGACACAACAGTGATTTCTAGCATTGTAATAATCTAGCAAGGTGTCTGTACAGTGTTGAAAGTCTTGATGGTATTCTGAAAAGTTATTGTCAAATCTGTGGTACTACTGAAATTCTCTGTGTATATAAATGTAGTCCAAGTAAGGTTACATTTCTGCCAAACCAGTGACATTTCACTTAGCTTTAATCATCTATAAGCACTGTGTCTAATCTGACTTAGTCACACAACCTGTCTTTAAAGTCAACAGAGAGATGAGCAGCTCTGGAGAGTGATACATCTCACTTATCTTAACACTCAGTTTAGGATGAGAAATGGAATGGGATTCTGGAGATGGATAATTGCACATAAATTTTAGCYGTCAGCAAGAACCACTGCACAGAGTTCCTGCAGAGCCAGGGTTGAGGGACACACTTCTCTTAGACTCCTTGGAGGTTACAAAAATTGCCTAACACACTCCAGAAGAAATAGCTTTTCACAAACATAACTCAGAGTCACAACTGATAAGAAGAAAATTAAGATGYACTTACCAAAAACAACAGAGGACTCACAGTAGTAGTAACCATTCGGTTGGTTTTTTTTTGAACATGGAGCAAAGATCAAAACGATGCAAGATCTCATCTCCAAAATAATGGTTTTTGAAATCTTCAAACAGACTAGAGTCAATCTTTTTCACCTTTAAAAAGCAACATAAAATTCAATTAGGCATTCTACTTGGAGACCTAATTTTCATATTTAATTTCTATAGTTTTCACTTTAACTGTACGTATAGTTAGGATGGAAAACTACTTCAACATACAAAAAGAATACAGAAATAATCATCTGCCAAATTTTCTGTTTTAGGGAAGCACTACCTGCTGCAGAACTTAACAATGAAATAGAAGTGTCATTAGTCCTCCTTTCTACCACTTCCTCTTGAGCCCTGTAGGAAACAAAAAAACRTAATAGACATACACAATGCTACAACTGCTTTAACTTCCAGTGGTTTGCAACAGTGTTCATGGAATATGTAACTGGAAATTAATCTTGCTGTCATCACTTAGCATGCTACTACAAGGAAGAATCTCAAATGTTTGTCAAGGGCAGTTTTCCAAGTTGTTAAAACCACTACATGGGAAAAAAAGTGGTTGTATTTTATTAGCACTAGACTTCTTACCTCAGTAAATCTAAAAGCTTACTGTAAGTTATAATATTGCAACCATTATGTAGTTTTGCACAGATGAAGTGGAACATCATAAATATTCTATTAGTCTATTTTCAGAAAACATCATTTCAGTAGTTATTTTAAGATTTTAGAGCTCCTAATTCCATCACATCATCAATAAAAATCAATTATCTCTGTAGAAATTCAGTATTTTCTCCTTCAGTGTACCTCCTAACAATGCTGTTTGCTATTTAAATACCTTTACTTTATGTTAAGGGATGTTCAGAGTGATGCTGCCCCTAGCAGCTCCAGCCCAGGGCTYCCTACTGCCCAGCGGCTGGAGCCCAGTCCAGTGTGTGGGAGCCCCAGTCCTTGATGGATGTACCTGCTGCTTTCACCTKCCAGAGACACACACCCATGCTCAAAGGACACGGACATGGCTGGAGACACGGRTGCCACTGCCTTCACCAGCACCCACATACAGGGCTCACAGGAGACACAAGTGTAAGGATAGAAGGTCAGCAGTATAGAAGGCACATGACTTTCTCTCCATGTGCACGTTTGTGCATTCCTCAAACACTATCACTGCCCCTCTGTCCACCCAGCACCCCTGCCCAGACTGCCGGCCTCTCACTGTGCCCACAGGTCCCCCACCCGCTGGCTGCCCAGCTGGAGGTCTGGCAGTGAACACGTGCACTCCTCACACACCGTTTGGGGAGGATACAGACGTTTGACCCCAGCAATCCGCCAGAGAAGTGTGCCCACCAGGCTCATTTTAAAAAAGGACTGGCTCCTTACGCAGTCCACACTGTCCACTCCTCCTTYGTGTTCTTCCCCAGCCTCTCCCCCTGCACATCCCCAATGCATTTGCACAGTCAACCTGCCAACACCCCAGACCCCCGGCTTTCCATTCTCAACAGCTGCAGAGTCTCGGTTTGCCTGTGGTTCCACGGCAGCTCACCGGTGTGAAAAGTAAAGTCYACTTCAGCAAACATCAAAATGTCAATTCCTTAATCTCTGAAACGATGACATCTAGTGGCGAATGCTCCTCATTTCAGGAAATGTAAATCTGGGAGTCTACATCTGCGTGGAAGGCTATATTTATCCCATCCTCGCAGTTAATAGTTAAAATTTTATATCCTATGGCTAGACTAGTCCTTATGTACTAAGGTTATTCTGAAATTAAATCATCCCTTGCTTTTTGGCTGACAGTTTGTGGAAATACAGTCAGACATCAATTAGTAATAAAAGAAAGACATTTTCAGCCAGGAGAACACTTGTCAAAATGTGAAGCCTTGAGTACTTCTGGAATGAAATGAAAAGATAAAAATCCCGACTTCATGCTCCAATAAAAAAATAACATTTAGAAGAGGTTGGGATGCTGCTTGTCAACCACAGTTTGGTAAGGTGTGAATCAAATGTTGAATGCTCAGGAATTGAGTTGTGCTTGTGATGCACTACTGAAAGGTATTTGGAAAAGCAGCCATGGGAAAACTACAGTATTTTTAGTAACTGGAGCAATTTCTGGAGTGCTATTTGCAGTAAAGTGTGAAAGGATGAAGCAATGCCGGTGCACGGGAAGGTTATGGCTCATTTCTTAATTGAAAGCAGTAGGGTCTGGAGCAGTAGCGATGCAAAAGAAAAGTTGTTACCACGTGTAAATAGCACAGATGCTGACTGTAAAGATAAACTATAATGAGGGAGGGTGAGAAACAAGAGTACTTGAGAAGCCACTTTGAAGTGTTTAGTGCTGGAAGGGGAGGAGGAAGACATCTGCCTCTCAAGGAAGCACCCTAATGGATGATACCTGTGAAGGGCATGGCTGTGTAATGTGGGCCTGGAGACGAATGGCATGAGGAGCTCTTGCAGGACTGGCAGAACACCAGGGAGACAGCCTTTGGCAGCGCTGCCATGTCTGCTTTCTCTCCCTCTGTCTCTGGGAAGGTGCAGCCCGCCATCCCCAGCCCTCAGCTGAGCCCCATGCTGTCTCTGTGGCTGCTGCCACAGTCACCCKTGGGACAGGGGCAGGAAGCAGGTGTGGGACCGGGGGTAGGAGGGMCGCAGTGGTGACAGCGCAGGTAGCAGAGACACAAGCAGCTCCGGGCTCCGTGTCCCAGAGCCCACAGCACAGCACCAACAGGCGTGTCCCCTCCAGCCCGGGCCCGGTGGGCGCGGCCTTGCGGGCGGCTCCGGCCTCCTGACGGGTCTGCCCGACGGAACGCCGAGATCCCGCCCGGACAGGAGGGGAAAGGGATCGGCAAAACTCTTTTGGGCTGCAGGGAGGCGCAGCAGCCGAGACSAGCTGCCCGTCTGAGGGTAAGTAGAGGGCAAAGAATTGGGTGAGGGTTGGAAGTGAGGTGCTGACAGGGATTGGTATGGTTGATCCATTATTTACTTGTATAGAAACTGGTGCTGTGTGATGGTGCAGCATAAATATGGGGCTGGGAACATGAAATTATGGCCAGGCCATGGGGCTGCACTGCTCAGGGGAGCCACGGTCAGGGCACGTGCATGACACAAACCTCTGAGAGAGGATGATTTTGTACATGGATATGTATGTGCATGTACATCACTGTATTATGGGTATTTGGGCATAAACAAATACTTTAAAAAATAAAGGACACAAAGAAAAACTGTAAAACTGATGCTGGTGGTTAGCTCTGTTACACGTTCCTTGGAAACAGATGGTAGTTTACTGGCTCCATCTTTCCAATATTTATAGTTAATTCCTGGTAGTACCTTTTTTTCTCCAGGGTTGGAAGAGTGACTCTTAACCTCTTGTTGTCAATTAAAGTTAATTCTCAGGACTTTTTGGATGACTTGTGAATAAAAATACCTCTTGCCAACAGAATGAGTGCCACATCAGCCACGAGCTGTGCCTTGCCACCGCTGCTTGAGCCCGAGCAAGAGGAAAAAGAGGGCTCGGAGACACATATGTCTGTTTTGTGGTATGCAGGGCAGCTGGCAATTACTTACTATGATACAGAAGATTGCTCAGTCTACTTCATGCCTGAGACACCTGATAACGAAGACCTCAATCTACTGCAAAAAGTGATTGGGGAACTTAACCCTCGATGCATAGTGACCAGTGCAAAACAGGACCAGAATATTGCCAAATTCCTGAACAACCTAACAGCTACTGCTGGCGATAAAGATGTAGGAAAACCAGAAATTGTCCTGTTTCCTAACATAGATTTTGGTCTAGAAGTCAGCAAGCAACGGATCCTATCTAGGCAATTTCCATTTATCCCATCTCATATGACTACAACAGAGAAAATTCTCTACTTGTCCTCAATCATCCCTTTTGAGAGTCCACTCATGATCAGAACCTTAGGGGGCCTCCTTAAGTTTCTTGACAGGAGAAGAGTTGGAGTTGAGCTCGAAGACAGCAGTATTGCAGTTCCTATTTTGGCCTTTAAAAAATTTGTGCTGTCAGATACTGTGAATATGGACCAAGACACTTACTGTGTCCTGCAGATATTTAAAAGTGATATCCATCCTTCTGTGTACAAGCTATCCAGTGGACTAAAAGAAGGATTTAGCTTATATGGAATTTTAAACCGTTGCAGATGCAAATGGGGAGAAAAACTGCTGAGGTTGTGGCTCACACGACCTACCCGGAATATGACGGAGCTGAACAAACGGCTAGATGTTATCAACTTCTTCCTGCTGGCTCAGAACCATGAAACAGTCCTTACTCTTCAAAACTGCCTCAAGAATATAAAAAATGTGCCTCTTATTTTAAAGAGAATGACTCTTTCCAACACAAAAGTTACTGACTGGCAAGCACTGTACAAAACAGCGTACAATGCAGTGTGCCTTAGAGACACGTGTCGTTCTCTGCCCAACACTATTGAACTTTTTCAGACTATTTCACGTGTCTTCACTGATGATCTGCACTACATTGCTAATCTGATCAGCAAAGTGGTAGACTTTGAAGGCAGCCTCTCAGAGAACCGCTTCACTGTTAGACCCAATGTGGATGCCACTATTGATGAAAAGAAACGAAAGCTGATGGGGCTGCCAGACTTCCTTACAGAAGTGGCACGAAAAGAACTGGAGACTTTGGACAATCATATTCACTCCTGTTGTGTGATCTACATTCCTTTGATTGGGTTCCTTCTCTCCATTCCACGCCTACCAAATATGGTGGAAAAGAGTGACTTTGAAATCGAAGGCTTGGACTTCATGTTCTTGTCCGAGGATAAACTGTTCTACAGAAGTGCCCGGACCAAGGAGCTAGATAGCCTGCTGGGTGACTTGCACAGTGAGATCAGAGACCAGGAAACACTCATCATGCACCAGCTGCAGACAAAGATCTTGGAGAAGTCTGAAGTACTTAACAGTGTGATTGAGTACACTGCACACCTGGATGTGCTGCTAGCCTTGGCAGCGATGGCCCGGGAGAACGCCTATTGCCGACCTCGCTTTACTCACCGCCACGGCTTCCACATCAAGGATGGAAGACATCCACTCATGGAACTATGTGCAAAGACTTTTGTGGCCAACCCTGTGGACAGTGGCGAGGCTAC